CTAAAGAGTTCTGCCAAATTTGCTCGATTTCTGACTACTAGGAAGGCCTTCACAAAATTGGCCTTGAAATTTTCATAAGTATATGTGAGACTTCCCAGTTGACTCAAGAGATCTTTTCCGATGCACTTGAACCAATTAAGCGCTAGGTCCCTCAAAGCATTGGCAGCCAGGGTGACTTTCTGAAATTTGTGAACTGGATACAACATAAAATGGGCATCTAATTTCTCCCAAAAGTTGTTCACCTGAGAATTTTCATCGAAGCTTACCGCTTGCTTCATTGCTGCCTGCATGGTCTGGGCGATATACCCGAATCCTTCTAGGCTGGCGGCTGGCAGTTTGGGATTCTGAACCGATGCTGTAGATATATCCAATTCTTCTTGAAACTAGGCCATGGGTCTTCTTCATCAAGCGCTACTATCAGGACTACTATTTCTCCTTATCTGTTTAGCAAACATGTAGGTGTCCTGAGTAGAACAGTGAGTTTACTTAAAACAATGTCCTAAACTACTGTAGAAGATATGACAAAGATGAGAAGGGTTTAATTATCCTTTATTCTCCGCAATTTACATGTGCTCCTGCACTTTGGGATACAAAGATCAGCACTTGTGGTCTGAATGTAAGAAAATAAGAACTACAAACTAACTAAATTTAAATAACAGCTAAACTCAAATACTCTACACAAACTAATAACACTAAGATTGGCCTTTTAAATTTTTATGTATGTAGTAAGTAAAATGCAGGAAAACTACAATATGCCTTCAAGAGGACTAAATTTCTGGCCTTAAAGGCGGGACAGCAACTGACTGAAAAAGTGTGCATGATATAAGGTGGCGAGAAGCCTCGCTCTCTCGCTTCTTGGCTAAAAGCCACAACTTAAATCCTTAAAAGTTTGCAAGCACAATTTTCATAATAAAACTAACGCATTTATTCTGGCCGGAAGTGGAAAATAAGAGAGAACAGTAAAGTTTTAAAATAAAATAAACGTTAGTAAAACTTAAAATCCTTATAAAAATCCTTATAAACTGAAGAGATGAAGTGACAAGGTCTGGGGAGTATGGTGAGTGATACCAAACTTCTCAGGCATATTCAATAAGTCTGTCTGATATTCATCAAAATATGATCAGTATTGTTATGATGGAAGGCAATACCTTGACAGTTGGCTTGTTCTGGGCACTTTTCTTTGATATCTGTGTATAAAGCTACCATTTAGGAATAATATTTTTATGAATTTATTGTCTGATTTAGTGGTAACAATTCATAATCTGGTTCCTTAGTAGTCTCACCATATATAAAGCATTACTTTTGGGGATGCTGCCCAGCTCTCAATGTTATTAAAGGAGGCTTATCAGTCTAACTGCATGATTTGCTTTCATGTAACATTGTATAGTATCCACTTATCCACATTGTATAGTATCCATTGTATAGTATCTCCAGTAATGAGCTATTTTAAAAGAAGAGCTTTTTATTTCATTTCATCAAATAATCGTATGCCGAAATTTAAGCAAGCATGTTCTACTTTGTTAAATTATGAAGTATCCATATATTGTTGCAGGCTTGTGCATAAGCTTCTCAATCTACCTTCTAACTGTGCCATCAGAAACAGTACTTTGTCTATATACAGCAGAAATTATCTGTCACTTTTTTTTTCTTCTTTATAGTAAAAGAGCATAGTATAATGAAAATGAACTATGGGTTTGCCATTCTTAGCACTGCTCTAAAATAAAAATTATACTACAGCACATGTTAGAATTGAAGCTACAATATGAGCTTTGAGTTTAGCTACAATATGAGCAGGAAACATAATACTTAAACATCTTCCTCAATCCTTTTCAGCAGTAACAAAATAATTAGAGAAAAATGCCCTTCAATTTGAAAAACCTCAGAACTTTCTAGATGACCTAGTTTGCTGAGTTGATCAGTATATCACAGGAACATACAGAAAGAAATGCCTTTAATTTCTTACGTATACCTCTACCTAACTGAGGACTTAATTAAGTCCTTAGTTAGGTCCATTATATAAATTTTAGATAGTGAAAATTCAATTGCATCTAGACAAACAGCCAAAACTTAATAACTGGAGATTTTAAGTGAACTTCATTTGAAAGTTTATTTCATTATCTCTCTAGTTGTGCAAAGGTTAAAATTCTACAGTGATTAGCATGATTAGCAAATGAAAATATGCATGAAAAATTCATAGACTTCAAGTACTACAGATTCTCCGTAATTTCTACAGAATTCTTTAAAAACTACACTTTGTAAAAAGTACTGAAAAAACTGTGGATTTTGCTGAAAGGAGGGGCAAGCAAAATTGTATGCAAAATGGAACCAACTTATTCCCCTGATGACTGGTAAGTTGCTCATGAATCGTGTTAAGTTGATGATCTTGCTAATTTTGAAGAGTAACCAATCAATTTCTAGCAAATTCCATCCTCTGTCTTTCCAGTAAAGCACCCTGCAGTGAAGGGGTTGTTTACCCTGTAGGTCCCATTTGATTATATTATGGTGAGAGAACGTAGCATATTTCATGTGAGTTGTTATTGAACTAGAAGATTTTAAATTTGTGAGTTATGCCACCTTAGAATAAGAGATTAAAATTATCAAGCCAGAAATTTAAAGACTTGCATTCTACAAAATTCTCATGTTTCCCATGTTTACATCTAAAGTTTCTGCAGGTTACTTTGCACTAGCAACAAAAACTTAAGTTGCACTCAGGTAAGGTGATTGTAAGCGGCATGCATTTTCTCAAAGGCATAAAAAAAATTAGGGTTATAAATTCAACAGAGGTAATTAATTTCTTTATAAAAGATGCTGAAAGAGATGTTATAAAAGCCAAATGCTATTTAATTAAATTTTTAATTGAACACAACTTCCCAGTTTCATTTTTGAACCATTTAAAACAGCTTTTAAGTACAATATTTCCTAACTCTAGCATAGCAAAAAAAAAAAAAAAAAATTCTCATTCAATTGTATAGCAACTCAAATGTTATTATAAAAAGGGGGCTGTAGATTGGCTGGATTTGAATGGCAGCTCTTTAGGATGTTCTCATTGAAAAAGTAAACATGCAGAGAAATGAACCCTGTTATAGGAAAGATTATCTAATTCAGAACTAAATATTGCAAAGCATACTACAGTACAAAGTCCGTAATCCGGACTCGTCGGGACTTCGGCGATTCCGGATTATAGATCTTCAATTTAAATCTGGTAAGATGGCATGCAGAAATTATACATTTAAAAATATGAAACCATAATTTATGAAATAAAGAGCAATTATGATCTAAAGGGTATCAAATTTAAAAAAAAAAGAAGCTTAATATTTATTTGTTTACTTTATTAAACGCTTCTTTCAACGCCCGCATCCGTAAAGCATACATTACGCGCATTCTTTATGTGCATGCGTAAAGTTTGTGGCTTTGAGGTCCGGATTACGGACTTTGTACTGTACTTATAAAGCTTTCCATTCATAATTTATAAACTAATTATAAGTATTTTTTATGATTATATATATATTTCTTGTTTCTATCTAGAATTTGATCCTCCTCCCTCTGTGTAGAGTTTAGAATACAGAAATATATTCTTATTTCATCTATGATTATTATATGTGGTTTAAAATATTTGCTTCATTCATGTAATATTAGATTTAGTGGCATTTCTTTTTGAAGAAAATTTCACATCAAATGTGGTTTTTAATTATTATTATTTTTTATATTTTTCGATTTTAAATTAAATGTAATTAAACAGTTAATTAAAAAAATATGCATAATACAGTGAAATACCAAAAATCCGCCGACCTGAAATTCGCGTTGCCTCTCAAAATATAAACATTCAGTTTATAGGTTCCGGAAACCGCTACATTGAGTACGAAATGTTGAAGAAAAAATACTTACCAAATAATGACATCATAATTACTGAATAATAATGAGTCGTAACGGAAATACGAAATTATTGACATCATGATAAAAGTTTTTCTCTAATCTGCATCGAGGTAAGAAAGCAGACAATTCACTCAACTCTTCTCTCAAGTTCACGATTCACTTTGTTGTATTTTCTGAGCTTTGTTATTTCACGAGATTATTTAGTGCTGCCTTTTTTTTATCCAGATATTTTGTGGATAAATGAAAAATATTTTAAATGTCAGCCCTTTTTAATACAACGACAGATAAGAAACGTACTCAAGATTTTACTACTTGCAACATTGAAAAACGTAAAGATGTTGCATTAACGGTAATATAAAAAGTGCAAATTCTGCAAAAGATGGAGGATAGGTTCCACTCCTAGCAGGAATCGTTAAATTGCAGAATCGATATGGAATTGGATATACGGAAAAATAAAGAAAAGCTATTGACATTTTACAGCAACAGTGATTCCTAACACCGGAATCCGAAACCTGGAAATCTTTGCATGAAGGGGAAATCAGCAAACCTCGATGCTGTGTACGTATAATACAATGAATAATATAATCAATTTATATATGTAATAATAATTTAATGCATATAATAAGTTAATGCAAGAATGTATATAATAATGTAATTAAATGTATCTAATACTCCTTATTTATTTTGCACTTTTAGTCTGAATATTATGATTTATCTTTTCTGCCCTGAAATCCACAAAATCCTAAAATTCGCACAACCTCTGGTCCCAAGCTTTGCGGATTTCTGGACTTCTACTGTATATGCACATTTTCAAAGTTTTAAGAATTTCCTTTGCATAATTTCCTCTGCTGATAAGTTTTGCTGTAGGTTGGAGTCTACAAAAAATTCATAAAAATTTCCTTCAATATTAAACTTTAAAAAATGCAATTTTTAAAAAATCACTGCATAGTGCTAAGGATCCTTTGCCCCTCAAGAATCTGTGTACCAAATTTCGTAACTTTGTGACTTCTGGGGCAATACACACAGAAAATATATTACTTATTTTGTCATTATAGGCTGCATAAAGCTTATAGTACTTTAGAAAAATTAGTAATATTAGATGTAAAGTCTGTCTGTCTACTTTTTAGGTTAGGGACGATGAACTAAATGAGCTGGATCACTTTCTTCATGAATGTTGGCTTGAAGTTAACCAAGGAGCTGAGAACACAGAAGGAAAAGTGAACATATTATTGCAAGCTTATCTTTCTAGATTGCATATTGAAGGGTTTTCCCTCATTTCAGATCAAGCTTATGTAGCACAAGTAAGCATTAATTTGTTAATCTTGCAAAAGTAATAATTTGCATCAATTTCATTATGTCACTTGTAAAATTTTGCAGTCCTTATCTAATAGTGTATTAGGGGAATAATAATGAGATTTAATGTTTGTAATTGTAGGCTAAGATGTGAAATATTTTTATTCTGGCAATTAACTGGCATGGATATTAGAAAATATTACACGTGTTTTTTTTTTTTTTTTTTTGTAAGCATCATTGAAAAGATTTTTAAAAAGAAAAAAATTCAGCTTTTTAGCAGTGTGATGGCTTATTGTACAATGCAAATAAGATAGATACATTAGGAGAGTTGTTATGAGACAATGAATCAAAAAAGACATTCATTTTACTTGAATGCCTTTCAGAGCATCTAGTAAGGTGCTGGATAGTCATAAAATCAATCTTACAAACTGAACATGTTGTAAAAGCTGTTCAAAATTATCATTCCTTATAAAAATAAAGAAACACACCACTACTTCTAGGTAAATTAAGAGAAAGCCTATCCTTTGCTTTTGCAAAACATTCTAAGTGCTTTCCAACATTGATATATTAATAATAAGTTCATGAAAATAATAATCTTTTTCATTCTGCTTAAAAGCAATATATGATATTAAACTTGCTATACTTGCAGTTGTAACTATGATTCTTTTCTTCAGATGAACAAAATTCTGAATCTTATCAATAAATTTAGAAAAAGGAAATGTATACAGTATATTACATGTATTGATATCAGATGTTTTCCCTTTTTTTTAATGATGGAAAAACTGTTAAAAATCAAAGATTAAAATAATTTTTAAGAGATTTTAAGTGTAAAATATAGAAGCTTTTTAGAGAAATAAAATTGTTTAAAGTAATTTTAACAAGTCATGTTAATACAATGCAATAGTGTCCCATATCTTATTCTTAAATCTGATAATGTGTGCAGTAATTCAAAGCAGATGGTGTGTTATCTAAGTAATTATAATGTAAAAACACTATTCTCAAAAGTGTACTTATGATGTAGTCAAGTAGGTAAATTCTTGTATGCTACAAATGCATCATTTCTTAGTGTAGGAAACCATCTTTTTATGAAATCATATTGAATCATAATAGATATCATTGAAATTATAGCTTTATCAGCAGAGATTTTTAAGAATGTTTTCTGTTTCTGAAATTATGTATAACAAATTGAGAAATCAAGTATAGGTTGAAAATTCAGCCAAACTTTTGTTATTGTTGTGTATGTTTGAAGCACTAGTTGCCGATTAAAATTTGGTAACTGTTTTGAAAATATTGTTATATAGATTGCTGGTATAAATTTAATTCCTATGGTTATATTTCCTATGATTGTTTATAATTGGATAGACATTTTATGTTAATAAATAAAAAATGAATATTCTGTATAAAAGTGATCAGAGCAGAAATTTTATTCATTGGCTAGATGTAGATGCCTTGATGTACCACATGTGTATCTTAAGAATAACTTTTTTCCGTACTTTTTTTATGTAAATTTGGTGATTTAAAATCTATGAATGGTTTGGAGTTCCATATGAAAATGTCCTTAAAGTGGTGCATGATGGATTTGGCTTTTAAATTTTAAAATGGGCTGAAATGCTAAAAAAATGTATTTTTATTCCAGGATTCTGACACCAAGTTTCATTTATTTATTTTTTCTTTCAGACTAAAAATTGTGCTTTGTATTGCATCATATTTTTTAATCAGTGGGGAAAAATTAAGCTCCCCCTCCAATCATCCAGTTTTTATGGGGAATTGAATTTCTTTATATATCAGTCACATCTTTATGAGTAAATGAAAATAAATTGTATTAATTCATGTGTCTTTACAAACTGAAATTTTAGCCAGGCTTATCAAGAGACAGAAATAAACTAACTTATGTGATTGGTTTAGATATATGATTATTTTATATCAAAGTACAGTCAAAAGTCGTTAATCCAGACTCGTTGGGACGCGCGATTCTGGATTATAGATCATCAGTTTAAATCTGGTAAGATGGCATGCAGAAATTATAAAATTAAAAATATGAAACCGTAATTTATGAAATAAAGAACAATTATGATCTAAAGGGCATCAAAATTTACAAAAAAAAAAAAAAAAAAAAAAAAAAAAAAAACGCTTAATATTTATTTTTTTACTTTATTAAACATTTCTTTCAATGTAAGTTGTTTAAGTTGCTTCGTTTTATGTGATAATACTTTCTCTTTAATTCTATAAACAGACATAATTTCTTGTTCAGTTACAAAGTTCCGCTGTTCAAGTCCTATAATTGCTGTGTCGAGAATACCGAATAATTTGTCAATCTTAAATTTTTTCGTTTTCAATAACCTCTGTGTCACTTCCTTCACTATCGGAAGCGAATTATAATGATGAGGAATTTGATTTAAATCATAACAAAGATGGATTATATAGAGATGAAATACTACATTTAGTAAGGAATTACAAGCCAAATAAAATAAAAACATCTGCCCTGAAGATAAGAATAGTGCTGACAGATCAACTACCAGTTCATTGCGCGATGCGATGTTCCCCCCTCCCCCGCAGAGCAGCGTGAAATTGATAAACAGATTTCAGAATGGTTAGAGAAACAAAGGATATGCCTTTATCCATTTTTTGCAGCAATTCCACTTTTTGTTTGGTGGGCATCAAAACATACTTTCGCTTTGTAGATCCTTTGGGAACTCCAGGCATCAGAAATTCTATTTGACATAATCGAAAGTTCAAGCTTACTTTTATAAAATTGCTCTAACAGTCTGCAAAAAATAATAAGTTGAATCCAATTTGAAGATTAAGGAACGATGCAATCTGCAACATTAACTGAAATAGATAATTAGATAATTTTAGCTTATACCATCCGTTATACGTTAAACACGCATGCGTAAACGTATTATGCGCATGCGCACATGCATATGCGCAGCCATTAAGGTCTTACGCGCATGCATAAATGCCTATGCACATGCGTCAGTGCTATGCATGCGCAGAAAGTTTGTAGCTTTGAAGTCAGGATTATAGATCATTCTGGATTATGGGTGTCCGAATTAACGACTTTTGACTGTATTATCAGATTAACCTGGTTAAATTTATAAATGCAACATGGTGAATATTATTTCGTACATTTTGTCCATTAAAAAATATCAGTTTAAGCGTAATAAATAATGCATCATTTTAGAGTTCATAAATAGAGGTTATGATTTCCTGACCCCCAAAAAAGTCACTGTAACAATTTTTTTTGCTAATTATTGTAGAAATTAATTTTCTTTTGTTTGTTAACAGGAGGATAGTTTTTGTTAAACTCTTCCATTCCTTCCAGTTATCATGTCTTTCCAAATAATACCAAACACTTAATCTTTTTTTTTATATATATATATTAAATATATACGTGATTGAATTTTCTTTCCATTAATTGTGCTAAAAAACTGCTTTTATTTTTATTTCAGAATGCAACTCGCATTGTAAGATCATTGTTTGAAGTTTCTTTGCGCAAGAAATGGGCATTGTTGACTTCTTCTTTGTTGAGAATATGTAAAATGTTGGAAAAACAGATATGGGACTTTCAGTCACCACTTCACCAGTTTCCAGAAATCAATCGTGATGCTCTAAACAAAATTGACAAATTACATAACCAGTATTCTGTAGAGCATCTTCAAGACATGGATGAAGATGAAATTGGTAAGTACCCCTTCTCATAAAAATCTCTTTGTAAACGTTATCCTAAAAATAGATTTAGAGAAAATTTGCTATTTGTTAATATCAGCACTTTGAAAACTTTTTAGTGACCATATCATTTATAAATGTTGAAAGTCAAAATTATGTCATCACCACCACTTACAAGATACATTCTGAAAGTAAATTTCATCGGGCTTTTCCATAAGGAAACGTTGTTGCAAACAGAAAAACTGAAATGCATAACCAAATATAAATTTCTGGCTATTTTTCCACATAGTCACCACTGACATTGATACATTTGTTGTACCATAAAATCAAGGAACTATCTTTGTAAAAATTTATTCCAATGATTTAAGGAAAATCTTCACAACATGCTGAACCTCTTCATTGCTTCAGAAATTATCTCCTGATAGTTCTGAGTTCAGTGCAGGAAAAAGATGTTAAGTCTATTGGGTAAGATTGGGGCTGTAAGCCAGGTGATCCGATTCTCCTATCCAGGCGATGAATATGTTGTTTTATGTTCCTTGCTGTGTGGGGTTTTGCATTGTTGTCAAAACAAAAGAAGCAAAACCCTCATCTCTTAAATTAAATGGTGGACTCAGTCTGGTAAGGGTGTGGGAATAGCTTGCTGCACTGATGATACCTGAAGTTAGAAAATCAATCAAAATAATAGCCTTCCCATCTCTGAACACTGTTGGCATAACCTTTTCTGCGCACTGTGACACATTGAATTTTTTCATTACAGATGAGCTGGGATGCTTCCACATCATTGATATAGGCTTGGTTTCTGCGATAAAGTTGTGCACTCATGTTTCATATCTTGTGTTGATCCTGAAAAGAAAGTCATTTCCCTCTCACTCATATTACATCAAGTGTTCAAAGTTTATTGCCATTCTTGTAGTCTTGGGATCAAGGATGAGGTGTTTTGGCACCCATCTTGCCGACACCTCCCGACAACCCAACAAATCATGGATTATAGGCGTATTCAATACTCAGTATGTATGCGATATCAGGCACAGTTACATGTCTGTTTATTAACAACATTTCCTGTACTCTGTTGATCTTTGTTGGAACCATGGATATGGAGAGACACCCAGATCAATTTTTCATAATCTGCCTTTTTTCTCTCAATACTGAATGCTGGCATCAAACCATTTGATGACGCATGACGTCATCTCCATAATGCTTTGTAAGTGTTGACAGATATCTCAAACTCTAGTCCTATGTGCCCACTCATAGCATATCACAGCGCACACTTCCATTTGTGACCACATTTTGAGCATGCATCTTTCTACCTTACTGATTTGCAATGGGCTGTGCTTTCTCTTCTTCAGCACTTTGTACATGCATTATTGCTCCTCAGCAATTGTAAACTTGAGACAGATTTTGTTCATATAGCAATGTGTTTTCTCACTTTGTATTACGTTTGTGTGAATATATATGACAAAACTTGTTTTCAGAACGTCTCTCATAAGCCAAACAAATAATTTTTTTTCATTCTGTTGTAATACTGAAATATGTTGTAAAACATTAGAATAATAATTAATAGTATTAAGGAAATCGTATTTCTTCAGAACACTGCTAAAACAACTTCTGTTTAAAGCATAGTTTTTTGTTACCTTTTCTGTATGATTCAACTAATAAGTCTGTTATAAAATCTGGTCAGGATGGTTAGTGGTAAGTTATGATTTCCTTTCATTCTGCAAGATGACACTTGCATTTTATAATTTTTTTTATTATTATTATTACACTAAATATTTACATATAGTTAAGGAATATTGGCCACATCGCTCACATTCTCTTACTTCCCGATTCTCAATTACGATTGTGCACTCTTATCAGCAGCTTTTCTACAATGCCATCTATCGGCTGCTTACATTCGGTCATTCTAACCTGACAATTGTCCCAATTGTTGTGAGTACAAATTAATTTTCTAATTAATAAATTTTTTTTCTTCTTTTACTCGTCTACACATTATTTAACATACATATTACTGATATACTAAAAAGAATACACATTATACTAAAATTTTATATGTTAATAAACTTACTTAAATTCACATATTTTTTTCAAATACATTACTATAATAATAAATTTTCTATAAATTATTACTAAAATCATGATATATCTGAAATAATGCTGATTAATTATCAGTCCTAAAATGATAAGTTCAAAACTGCACTAAGTTTTTGGATCTAATGTTCAAAAGTTCTCAAACGTTCAGAGTCTTTGTCAGCAAGCATACATACATAAAAAAAAGGAAAGATCTCACCTTAATCACAGTGAAGAGTACCTCCATTAGTCTGTGCGAACAGATCTTTGCGTGTTCTGTCAAGGAATCGAGCTTGAAAACTGGTCAGTATCTTGATCGTCGTCATCATTGTCAGAGCGGGGATCACATCTCCATGGTTTCAGTTGGCTCACATCAGCAGTGATGGTGAAGTAGCGACCTCGATTCTTTGCTTTTAGTTGTGCTATTCTGCAAGTATCACCAGGTAATACTTTTGATATCTTAAATGGTCCTCGATTTTTCAGCTGTGTTTTGGTAGGTTGACCTGTAGCCAATATCTCATCATAAGAATTTCTCCTTGTTCAAATATTAGTGTACGATGTCTCTTTTCATGCTTTTAGGAATCACATAGAATAGTATCTCTTTCCCGACCACTATGCTTTTCCAGAACGGTCTATTCTTTTTAAACACGTAATTCCTAATTATTTGTTTTTCCTCAGCAGTTCGTTTTTCTTGTTTCTTCTTAAATGTCGATAATTCTTTTCAGTTCTTGGTCAGCATGTTGTAACATTAGTATTTGCTCTTCTTCAGTTAGAGACTGGCAAACTTCAAAATTTTCAGCTATTTTTGCCATCATGTCATCAGCATCCGATATAGGACCTCTACTCAAAGCTTATACATGGGACAGTCTTTTTCCTATGTTTTATCGCAAAATCATATTCTTGAACTAAACCGCACCAGCAGGATATTTCCCTAGCATCAGTAACTTCCATTACTGAATCTGCACTTCCATGCTTGTTTTTAAATAAAATTAAGTCCATTATTTATATCTGGGGTTACAGAATGCACAAAGTTTATCATGTTATTTTTTATTCCCGATTCTCAATTACAGTTGTGCGCTCTCTATCGGTGGCTGTTCTACAATGCCATCTATCGGCTGCTTAAAAATCTATGTCTAATTTAAAGGTAAATACTAATTTCCAGTGGCTCTTATTCCAAGAATATTCATTAAGATAATCTGTTTATGTTTTACTTATTATTTGCATCTAAAGAAATATTTCATTTTTTGTAATGTATTCTGTTTGTTTGTATTCTGCTGTAAAACATACATAAACATATGTATGCCTATTGTGTGTGTATTATGTTGTAAACTATGCATAATATTGTGATATCTGGCGACTGTTTGGCGATCAACAGAGCGTGCTTGGCGCAGGTAGCTCTTCTCCAAGAAGGGTAAATCTATTTATTGAGAGTTGCATGTTAGCCTCGGAAGAGGAAGGTAGTAGATTGTACTATGCGGTAGGAACGACGTACTGCTCTGAGTCACTATTATATTATGCTTTGAATCATATATTTAATAAATGTTTGTTTCGTCTTGCTAAATGGTGCCTTATTAAACCACGAAGTCATCACAACACGCTCTCTTACGAGAAAACCAGAGAGGTTAGAAGCTTAGATCATTGAAAACAGAAGAGGCGTAAAGTTAAGCCTAACTAACGAAAGAAGTGTTCATTTGCAAAAGAGAGTAAAAACGTGAGAATTATTTAATCGAGAGTTTGAAAGGCTTGATTCTAAAGGAAAATAGAAGAAAATGTTCAAAAACGCAAAGAAAGAGGATTTAGTAACAGTTCTATTGGAAATTGGCGAAGAAGCATCCCCAGATTTGAAGCTGGTAGAACTGAAACACAAACTCCAGAATAGCAAGGAATACATCGAAGATGCTGATTTCGTGAAAGAAATTCTGATTACTACAGTGGAGAATAGAAAAAGAAAAGAAGAAATGGAAAGAATGCAAATGGAAGAAGAAAGAATAAGAACAGAAAGAGAACACGAAATAGAATTAGCGAAGATTCGAGCAACTCAAAATGAAGGAAGTAGAAGTCCGACACCTTTTATCCAAAACACAGAACGAGAAACCGAAATTTCCCTGGACAAGCTGATCAAAGGAGTAGAAACACTGACTATACCAGTACCGAAGAGAGCAGAAGAATGGAATATATTTTTCGATTCTATCGAAAGAGCATTTAAGCACAAGAAGGTTCCTGAAGAATACAAATCAGAAATATTATTGAAATTAATTGGAGAAAAAGCTTCAAATGTTCTTGTTTATATAAAGGAGGAAGATCTGCAAAATTACGAAAAAGTGAAAACTCTTGTTCTGAAGGAATATCAACCTACTCCTCAAACCTGTTTAGAAAACTTCAGAAGAACTAAACGTTATTCCGGCGAAACGCATATCCAGTTCGCTTCAGACTCAAGACTAACAGCTACATGGGGACTATTACTGCAAGTCAAGAGAAGTAAAGGATTTTCGAAAACACTCAAGGAGTTAATTATTTCCGATAAATTATTCCAAGCTTTAGATGAAGAAACAGCTGCACACGTCGCAATACGCCAAGGAAATAAATGGCTGAAGCCTCAAGAATTAGCTACAGAATGTGATATTTATTTCACGGCCAAAGGAAAATCTTTCGACGAAGTTCGAAATGGAATTAAGCGATCACCGAGATTCCTGGATACAACATGTGCACAAGACAAATATATTTCGCCACCCATGAGAAAAGAATATCCAAAACACGAAAGATCTCACGCGAGAAGAAAAGAATGTTATATTTGTGGAAATTATCAACACATCGCAAGAGATTGTCCAGACAAAAGAAGAAAGAACGAAACTGCAGTAAATAAGAAGGGAAAGGATGATTCCAAAACTCAAAAAAATTCAAACAGAACATCAAAAGAAGAAGCCATCGTAGCTAAAGTAGACTCATCCCAT